CTGGAACTACATGAAAATAATCGGTAAAGTAGGCGATCATTTCCTTTCTTTTTCGGTATCAGACCTGCCTACCTAACTCTCACTTGAAACATCGTTTTGTGTTTAATAGTCTAAATTACACATGTTAACGTATGATCCCAAAGTGATCCCTTCTTTCAATTTGTAGTCTATTCCATTTCAGATTTACATATGATAATTTTTCACGAAGTAGTTTGGATGTAGTGAAAGATAGCTTTGGTGCAGCTTAACTTCCAGTGTTACGTAATTGGTAGCTTTGTGAGCTATGTTTTCTAAGTAGCTTCCCCAACACTGCCATCTACAAAACACAATAATGGAACAAACATACCTTTTACTTTTTAGTTTTAGTTTTTTTGTTTAGCGCGTTTAGCCTTACCACCTCTTAACGTATTATACATGTTTAATGTAATGTTTAGTCGAATACATAACAAGCTAGGTATTGCATGGTGCGTTCCTCAGCTACCGTATTGCATGGTGCGTCCTTGCTAAATAATTATTAGATAATGTCTCTTATCTGTCACTCGTATCCATCCAGCTCAATCAGCGAAGCGCTCCTGAGCAAGTCGAGTTGCCGATAGGCTCATTTTGGTCACATGCGCTGATTGTTAGGGACCTGTGCCTAAGAAATTGGTAACATTTTACACAGCGAGCTATCAGGTGGGTATCGGGAGTACACAATCCCGGATTGGTTTATTGTTTTGTTATTGGAATCGATCATTGACACTGGCAGACGAAACAGAAGGATTTTCTGTATTTTTATTTTCTTTTGGAGACAAACACGACCTTTTCTGCGGGTCTTTCAACTGGTGTTTGTTTCAACATTGACAAGATGTTGCCAATACTGAAAAAAGACGCGCGTGTGTTTCATTTCGATATTTTTCCTGTCGTGGCTGCATGATCTATTTACGCGGTGCCGGCAGATATGGATGTAATATGTGGAATTAATCTGATAATTGGAATGAATTGGATAATTTTTTATTCGATAGGTTGAAGTGCATCGTGCACACATTGCGCTTGAATGCAAACTTTATTTTTTAAATGTCGAATTTCTTTGAGTATTGAGTGAATGGAAAGGACAAAAAGGAAAGGATTTACCCAAAGAAAATCGATTTATTTTCTCAAAACACAAGCCATCCATACACACTAATGCAAACCTGTGGTCTGGCTAAGTGTGTTTGTTGTGATGGTTCTCCCCTCCATTTCCACTGAAAACAGTTTGGATTTTCATTGTTGGATCTGTGGGGTTCCAGAATGGCTCGCTTCGCAGAAGATCTACCCACCCGCTATGGAGCTGGAGGAGGAGGCAGAGGTGCGCCGGGCGCAGGCAGAGGGGGCGCCCGAGCAGGTGGTCCTCCAGGCGGCCAAAGGATGTACAAGCAGTCGATGGCTCAGAGAGCCAGGACAATGGCCATATACAACCCTAACCCAGTCAAACAGAACTGCTTCACTGTCAACCGATCCTTGTTCATCTTTCGAGAGGACAATCTCATTAGGAAATATGCTAAGCGAATAACCGAATGGCCATATCCTTTCCAAAACCACCATGGGTAAAACATTAGCTGTCATCACATTGCATTGATGTTTGTATAACATATCTATCCTTATTTGACAAACACACTGGTAGATTTTTAATTCAGAAACATGACACAGGGAGTAGAGCAAGTCTTGTACTTAAAGATTTTACTGAGAATAAAAAAATATATGGCCTTTGTCACCATTTCGAAGCGCACCTGTCAGTGAACTCAAAAAGTCGATTATTCCATAGAAAGTAGGCGGATGCCTATTCTACTGTAGATGATTAGCTCATTAACCTTGTGTAACTCCTGGTGCACCTGTCGCTGTGTTCTTACTGGTTGGACACGATAAAGGATTTTCCTCTAATGATAGTGTTTGGATACAGTTGAATTACTTAACGGCAAGATGTCTATAGGTACAATGTAGGCTAAACATTCACAAATTGTGCACGACGGCTTGTCACCTCCAAAAAGGTTTGATTGTGATCAGTAATTGCCAACGTGTCAACAATCATACTCACTATATTTAGTTTTCCATTTCTATTTTATGTGCGAGATTAATCTCTACAATTTGTAGATTTTTTGTTCTTTCTGCGCTTGCTTCTGTTGGATTAGGGTTCGTTTTTAATTCCCCTTCTCTCTCTATTATTTATATATAGTCTTGTTTGCACATTGCCTATTTGTGTATTATAGCAGTGTCGTTTCAACTGTTGCTGTTCACAGATTTGTCCGTTTCCATGGTAAGGTGAGAGTGCTCAGTGAGTTGGAAAGGAGACCGCTGGCTCTGAGGTTGTAAAACGCCTCGTCTTGGTTCGGAGCTGCTCGGGCCCTCTCCATGGTCCTGAACTTGCCCACGCGCACCCCGCCACATCACCCTCAACCACAAACCGCGAGGGCTGGAGAGAGCCGAAGGGCGCATGACAAACGCGAACAGACAGCTGGATCTGTTGTGTAGGCGTCAGTGAGAACAGCGCTCTCCGAAATGCAATCTAATAACAATGGTTATCAATGTATCTGTGACCTCAATAAATTGAAATTAACGCTAAAGCAATGATTAAAGGAATTAAATGAGTAAAGAGGGCAAAACCACAATACATTATTGTGGGTAAACAAATTCGCTCAAGTAAAGGGCAGAACTCAACTCACTGTCCACTCATAGGCGTGGTATTGGCAGTGCAATGCGTTTCTTTGGCTTTTGCGAGGGGCAAATGCGGTGTTCAGGCTTCTGGCGCCCCTGGGCAAACGATTCTAGATTGATTGGTCGATGGGGTCAGTAAAACCTCGCCATTCGTTCACGACTGGCTATTCCACAAAGGCCACTCCCGCGGGGGAATGACACGGGAAAATGGATTGTAGAATGAATCAACCATAAAAAACGGAATGAAATGGTCACCCAGCTGGAAAGATGTTGTAACCCAAGTATACAGTTGAAGTCGGAAGTTTACATACACTTAGGTTGGAGTAATTAAAACTCGTTTTTCAACCACTCCACAAATTTCTTGTTAACAAACTATAGTTTTGGCAAGTCGGTTAGGACATCTACTTTGTGCATGACACAAGTAATTTTTCCAACAATTGTTTACAGACAGATTATTTCACTTATAATTCATTGTATCACAATTCCAGTGGGTCAGAAGTTTACATACACTAAGTTGACTGTGCCTTTAAACAGCTTGGAAAATTCCAGAAAATGATGTCATGGCTTTGGAAGCTTCTGATAGGCTAATTGACATCATTTGAGTCAATTGGAGGTGTACCTTTGGATGTATTTCAAGGCCTACCTTCAAACTCAGTGCCTCTTTGCTTGACATCATGAGAAAATCAAAACAAATCAGCCAAGACCTCAGAAATAAAATTGTAGACCTCCACAAGTCTGGTTCATCCTTGGGGAGCAATTTCCAAACGCCTGAAGGTACCACATTCATCTGTACAAACAGTAGTACGCAAGTATAAACACCATGGGACCACGCAGCCGTCATACCTCTCAAGAAAGAGATTATCGTACTTTGGTGCGAAAAGTGCAAATCAATCCCAGAACAACAGCAAAGGACCTTGTGAAGATGCTGGAGGAAACAGGTACAAAAGTATCTATATCCACAGTAAAACGAGTCCTATATCGACATAACTTGAAAGGCTGCTCTGCAAGGAAGAAGCCACTGCTCCAAAACCGCCATAGAAAAGCCAGAATACGGTTTGCAACTGTACCTTTTGGAGAAATGTCCTCTGGTCTGATGAAACAAAAATAAAACTGTTTGGCCATAATGACCATCGTTATGTTTGGAGGAAAAAGGGGAAGGCTTGCAAGCCGAAGAACACCATCCCAACCGTGAAGCACGGGGGTGGCAGCATCATGCTGTGGGGGTGCTTTGCTGCAGGAGGAACTGGTGCACTTCACAAAATAGATGGCATCATGAGGAAGGAAAATTATGTGGATATATTGAAGCAACATCTCAAGACATCAGTCAGGAAGTTAAAGCTTGGTCGCAAATGGGTCTTCCAAATGGACAATGACCCCAAGCATACTTCCAATGTTGTGGCAAAATGGCTTAAGGACAACAAAGTCAAGGTATTGGAGTGGCCATCACAAAGCCCTGACCTCAATCCTATAGAAAATATGTGGGCTGAACTGAAAAAGTGTGTGCGAGCAAGGACGCCTACAAACCTGACTCAGTTACACCAGCTCTGTCAGGAGGAATGGGCCAAAATTCAGCCAACTTATTGTGGGAAGCTTCTGGAAGGCTACCTGGAACGTTTGACCCAAGTTAAACAATTAAAAGGCAATGCTACCAAATACTAATTGAGAGTATGTAAACTTCTGACCCACTGGGAATGTGATGAAAGAAATAAAAGCTGAAATAAATCATTCTCTCTACTATTATTCTGACATTTCACATTCTTCAAATATAGTGGTGATCATAACTGACCTAAGACAGGGAATTTTTACAAGGATTAAATGTCAGGAATTGTGAAAAACTGAGTTTAAATGTATTTGGCTAAGGTGTATGTAAACTTCCGACTTCAACTGTAGCTGTGGGATTAGCCTACCATCTTGTATTTCTGACCATGTCTAAGTCACACAGCATTCAGAAACATCGCTGTCTATTGGACTCCTGTTCAGTCAATGTCATTAATTGGTTAAATTAATTCAATCAGCCAGTAACTTCCTAAAGCGGAAGATCTCATGCTCTGTGGCACCGCAGCTGGGTGGTGGCAGGTGGTGGCAGTGGCACTGTTTATCCATGCTCATTCTGCACACCTAAACTCTGTTGAGGCAATTCTCACCAGCCTTTTACACAATCTGGGTATTTGCATGTCTTTTTTAAATCTAAATTATTCTTCAATAATACATAGATGTTTTACCACAATGGGTTAAGACTAAAATACTTACAAGTTGGAGTTAGTGTTTTGTATTGTGCATGAAATTCTCTATCATGGCTTGTGTTCCTTAACCTGCACACTCCGTTTGAGTACTTGATCCTGGCCACCATCATCGCCAACTGCATCGTACTGGCCCTGGAGCAGCACCTACCAGCCAGCGACAAGACACCTATGTCAGAACGCCTGGTAAGAGTCTCAACACTCCTCCCTTTGGATGAGAACTAAGGCTACGTCCCAAATGGCACCCTATTGCAGTGGTCAAAAGTAGTGCACTAAATAGGGAATAGGGTGCCATTTGGAATGCAACCCTATTCCTTTCACACTTTCTCTTCCTTTACTTAGGGCTCCGATTAATATACTTATACAGTATTGTCTTCTGTTTGTTTGCTGTAAAAGTGTAGAATGTTATTTAGGTGATTTTCAAGAGGGAAAGAGGTAGTCAGACAGAGCGAAACAGAGAATTCGCTCAGAGTCGTTGCTCATTTAGAGTCTTCCACGAGTAGAGCTCAGTGATGAGGGAACCCAGTCATCCCTAACCTCCTCCTCCCAGTCAGAGGGCCCTGAGTACCAGACACAAAGCCAGGCAGCTGGGCCACCCACACCTCCAGTCCATGGGAGAGCAGCACCCCTCCTCATTAGTGCGTGGGTATATGGCGATGTGTGTCTCCCTCTCCTCTCCCCTCTCATTCTGTAAGTCAGCTGAGCCTCACACTGAGTGGCTTTGATTCCCCCCTTTCCCTCTCCAGGCCCTCTGTTCCCCTGCCTTCGTTCCCCTGCCTTCTCACACGCGTCGTATAGCTTAAACCCCTGTTTGAACTCAGCCAGTCGAGTCGTTTAACCATTGCTGTTCTCCCTTTAAGCTGTGAAATATTGAAGCCAGGAGAGGCTGCTGTGCGGCCATGGGAGGATTGTGACGCTGCTTCTCTAAAATATCATTTTTCAGCATCTTGCACACACAGATGTGGTCTTAAAGATGTTGTGGCTCCTGGAGGAATGGAGGAAAATGCATAAAAGGCGCTGCTGCAACAGCTTGTTGAAATAAGGTTAATGACCCTCAAATGCAGCCGCCTGCTCCTGTTATCTCCATAATAGTGATGCAACATCAGCAGCAGTGTAGTGGCACAATAAAAAAGTTACTCGACACCTGAGAAACTGATTAGTGTTAGTAGAGAGAATACATTTCCCCTCCTTCCTCCCGCTTTCTCTCAAGTAGAAGCATGTAATACAAGCGTCCTTGTAATTAGAAAAACAATAGGCTATTTATGGTCCAGGATGAATAGACTGGGGTGTGTCTGTTAAGTGGAGCTCCTGATAATAGAACATTGTCAAAAGTCGTTGTTCTTCAGATCCATAGCAGAGATTTACCCTTGCGGTCCCCTGTGATTTCCAGTTTGCCCCTTCAGAGCCATGTACTGTAGATGGAGTGTTCATTATTCATGAATATTTTACATCTCTACATTATAGATGTTAACACAGTCTACTGTAAAACATCATGCATTTATGGATGGACCCCTCCAGCCTAGCCATCATGTAAGGCTTGGCATAGCATTGTTTTGTCTGCTATCTTTTTATAGCAGATAGAGATGCAAAGATGTCAGTCTCAATGCTTGTCATTAGTGTCTTTCCTTACATTAAAGCCCTGAGAGCATCAGTGCTGTGTGGTCTTGATAGACAGCAGCAATCCCAGACTCGCTTCTCTGGCTGAACAACAAACCAGTTATTTTAAAACACCATTTCCTGCACCATTTCCTGTTACAGTGACAAATCAAACAGGTCTGTTATTTTGCTTGTTGTTCATTGTTGTTAGATCTTACCTTAGAGCAAGTGAAAAGGTCACAGACCCTTTAACGCTGTTCTCAAGCCTGTCAAACTCGTTGTGATTATTTGCGTTGGAAATCCTGGGTTGGTGATTGAGGGTTGGGGTCGTGGAGCTGTGGAAAAAGAGAAAGGGAAAGAAAGAGAGAGAGGGAGGTTAGTGTAAGTTGTGAGATATCCTCTGCTAGTGCCTGTGTGTGTAGCAGCACCTCAGGCCTCCACTGACATGATATTAATGGAAGGGAATGAAAAAGTGTCATGTCATACGTGCCTGCTCCAGCACTGCTTTGAACAAGAGCAAGAGTCATCCTAGCTGCAAATGGTTTTTTGCCCAGTGAAAATCTCACTTTTAAAAGTTCATATTCTGTTAACTCATATACAAATAATGTTGACTTGTCCTATACTCGTATTTGTGGCCAAAGCATAAATTTGAGAAAAAATACTTCAAAAATCCCACCTCAAATCTGTATCTCAAACAGACAATTTAAAAAATGCTTGCTATTTCTTCATATAACATGTATCCTCCCTGAGGAGGATGAGCTGGCCAATCAGCGGTCTACTTGCATGAACATTTTAAATGACCGGTATACGTCCACACCATTCTGTTGTTGGGGTACGCCCACACCATTTCAACACAGAAAAGCTGCTTTTTAACATGCTTAATTATAATTTTTTTGGAAGGAAAACTATTTCACTCATATCGTGTAAGTAATTATAGATTATAGGTTATAAATCTGGAAACACTGGGCAGTTACTTTAAATCTTCATACCATAAAAATTGTTTGTTTATGTTTTGAATGTTTCGTTAGATGCCTTTTGGAGACCAAAAAGCCTCATCAAATTATAATTTATTGATACATTTTAATCATACTAATTTGCCATCAATTAGTAAGATTCGTTAAGAGTAAAATGTAAGCTATTATCTTATGTAAATGATAATGTGATATGATGGATGCGTAAATCACACTGATAAAATATGATCTCCAAGATTACTGTTGGTCTTCTTGTGTAGGCTATGTTTTCAACCCCTCTTTCTTCCTCTACCTTTCATCCACCAAGAGAGCGTCCTATTCCTCGACCCATTCTCTGCATGCTGGGTAGAAAAGTGAAGGAAACCATCCCCCGTTCCTCTCTTTCACTCTCTTCCCCCTCTCTCTTCTGCCATGCTTCATTAACCTCTCTCTTACCTCTAACAAAAAGTTATCTCTCCCTTGTTCCCTCTCTCTCTTTGCAGGATGACACAGAGCCCTACTTTATTGGAATATTCTGTTTCGAGGGCGGCATTAAGATCATCGCCTTGGGCTTTGCATTCCACAAAGGCTCGTACCTCCGCAACGGCTGGAACGTAATGGACTTTGTGGTCGTCCTCACTGGGTGAGTTCTTGGCCCGCCGGGTGTGTGTGTTTGTAGATGGGATGGGATGGATGAAAGAAAGACTGATTTGTTCATGTGCATGCTTGTGTGTGTCTGTTTTATAGTTGTGTATGGGGTGCGTTCCTTATTGCTGCAATTGGCCAGAATTGGCCTTCACAATCCTACAAAGGATAGCAAAGCAAACGAAAGCGACGTTTCAATACAAAAATATAATTTTGTTGTACCAACGAATTGTCCAATATTGCTCATCAAATGTGTTTCATAAATCAGGTATCACAGTCTTTATTGACATTTTGAATATCTGTTTTGGCTCTCCTTTTTCTGTTGCAAAGGCTCCATGGATGCTCAGAGGTAATAGGCCAAAGGTGAAAATTTGTACAACTTCAGTGATACAGCACTAGTTTTACTGTGTCATTGTTCCACAGTTTTGGATGGATACTCTGAGTACCATAAGTTAAAAGTCTGGGGGCAGCTCTTAGTCTGTCTGGGCTGAGAGAGAGTGCCTGGCTAGCATGGAGACTACCAGCCAGACAGAGGGCTCTGGAGAGCAGTAATGGCTCTATCTCTAATTGAGCCACCACAGACAGGGGTGAGAGGGTAGGGCAGTCTATGTGGAGCAGTGGTGGAGTACCAACACCATATAATCACCTATAAGAAGTGTATCACACTCCACTGCAGTAGGGAGCCAGTGTTGCTCTTCCCCAGTCGTAACCGTTCCTTTGCTTTGTTACATTTATAAGCATGGAGATATTGTGCCAGCTTGGTGTTATAAGGAGTCTGGATGGGATTTATGGTGTAAATAATGGCCATTCCGGAAATTCACTAAACAAATAAATCATGCTGGATACTGAAGCCGGGAAGGAATGGAGATTAAGATGGGGAAGCGTTGGAGGGAGGGAGAGAGATAGTGAGGCTGTTGATGTAGTCTTCTACGTGTCACCCTCCCCTACACACACACCTCTCCTAAGTCGTAACATCAGCTGTGTTATCAGTCGGTCTACTTTATTTTATTTCCGTATGAAATGTCTTATCTGAGGTGGCCCCGCCAGCTCTGAACTCGCTTCAATTATGATGTATCCCCTGTTGGTGTTCAGACACTGGCACAGACCAGAGAGGGGAATGGGGGATAATCATTTTTTATGTTTTTGTTTATTTTGACAGGTGGTCATGCTGAGGCCAATATCTCTTTTACAGATGAGCCCTCTAATTACAAAAATATACACATCAAATACAAATAAGAAATGCAAAACAGTAATAAGGTCCTCAATCAGTAGTCTGAATTGCCCTAGAGGCACCAAAACATCCCATTGAAGAGAATTTGGAAGATTATTCCACAAGAGGAAGAGAAGAGTGGGGAGGAAGAGAAGAGTGGGGAGGAGAAGGAAGGGATGAGTGGGATAGAGAGGAAAGGAGAAGAGGGAAGCGAAGAGGAGTTGATAGGAGAGGAGAAAAGAGGAGAGGAGGGTTGTGGGGTGGAGAGGGGAGGGGAGGACAGGAAGATACGGTATGAGTGGGAGAGAAGAGGAGTTGATAGGAGAGAAGTGGAGAGGAGAGGGAAGGGAAGGACCCCAGACAGAGATGCCTGAGGCTCAGCCCTGAGGCAGAGTGGTTTTAACGTGGCTTGACACTCATAGTGGCTATAACACTCACATTCATATTTACAAGCACTGATCACAGGCCAGTTTAGCATTTTTCATCCTTTTGGTTAAATTGAGCATTTAAAGAGGGTAAGGGGGGAGTATGTGAGTGATCATAATGAGTGATGAAGAGGTGAAGCTGATGAAAGGATGTGATAGAAGAGGATTGACTATCCTCCCTCAGGTTAGATAGTACAGCTATTACAATCAGACAATTAGACCTCATTATTGTAATTAAAGCTTTGTTTTGCAAGATCCATTTGAGTTCATATGGTCCTATGCAATTACTTAGCATTATTAATCAGATTGTTTGTGCTGTATCTCCATATGCGGTTCCCATGGCTGTGCTGGCGTGCAATATGAAATAGACTATGTCTAGCAGTTATGCTAGTCCACTGACGTGAGGGAAGGTCGGTGGCTGGGTAAGCACTGGCTATTATTAAAGCTAGATTTACTCACAAACAAACCTTGATGATGCCCAAGTTCACCATACAATAGATAGCTCCAACAACCAGAGTGACATAGGCTATTAACCGAAATTGACAAACACTTTTCACCATATGACACTGCTCAACTGAGCTCAGCTATAGACCGATGTAGCATCCACAGTAACAATTGATAGGTGGCACTAAAATACCAATATATGGACACATTTCATCCGAATAATTCGCAACGCAAACTCCATAGCCTTTCACAATGGATTTACAATTCTTCCAGTGATCATGGTTATTCCGTGCACTAGTGTGAAGTGAAGTAGCTGGCTAGCTAATCAGATGTGTGACTTTCAGATCACAGACATCAGAAATATAACACAGCATCAAGGATACATGTAGTTATAGCTAGTTACAACTTAATAGCGAAGCAACATCTTATATTGAAATGAAACAAATCAATGCATGGCTAGCTAGCTGCTAACGTGGCTTGAAAACAACAAACAAAACAAGTAATCCATAGTAGCTATAACACTCGCATACATATTTACAACTAAATAGCAAACACAACATAACACTTTATATCCAACAAGATATACACTGAGTATACCAAACATTAGGAACACCTTCCTAACATTGAGTTGCTTTTGCCCTCAGAACAGCCTAAATATGTCGGGGCATGGACTCTACAAGGTGTCGAAAGCGTTCCACAGGGATGCTGGCCCATGTTGATTCCAATGCTTCCCACAGTTGTGTCAAGTTGGCTAGATGTCCTTTGGGTGGTGAACCATTCTTGATCCACACAGGAAAGATTTGAGCATGAAAAACCCAGCAGCGTTGCAGTTCTTGACACAAACCGGTGCTTCTGGCACCTACTACCATACCCCATTCAAAGGCACTTAAATATTTTGTCTTGCCCATTCACCCTCTGAATGGCACACACACACAATCCATGTCTCAATTGTCTCAAGGCTTAAAAATCCTTCTTTAACGGTCTCCTCCCCTTCATCTACACTGATTGAAGTGGATTTAACAAGTGACATCTATAAGGGATCATAGCTTTCACCTGGATTCCCCTGGTCGGTCTATGACATGGAATAATGTTTTTGTATATTAATTGGTAATGACGTTCCAGACAAGTGGACAGTCCCGCACTCACTCTGTTCACCTGCCCGACAGCTAGCAATGAAGGAGAGTGTGCCATGGTGGTTGCCTGTGCACAGCTTACCCCAACAATAGCCACACAACATGTTTAGGCAATAAGCATGCGCAAAGCAGCTATGCATATGTTGATCCTGCCCATTAACAGTGACCTGGAGTCGGATAAGGCCTCACACATCAAGGATTTTAATGGCTTTTAATGGATGGAAAGAAAGGCATGAATACCCTGCCGCCTTCCCTGAGATTCTGATGCAATTATTCGATTATCACAGGGTAAGTAAGCACTGCTTCCCTGCCTACCCTGACTGCACGTCAAGAAGGACATGGTAGGTTGGCCTTACAATTATATACATGTTAATTTTTTCATTTATATTTGAACCATTACTGTGAAAAATTCTGAAATCTCTGTCCTCCTCTGTGCTAGCTTAGCCACCCACATGTCTGTAACCTTGGGATAACTGTTGTCGATATAGTCTTCTGCTCCTAATTAAATAGCTAATTCCTAAATGATTGTGGTCCTTCGGGCAGTGGTAGACCTTTTAATCTGTCCTGATCAGGCATTACCACCTGCTAATAAGACAATACATCTGCCCTGGGTGCCACAGGCCCAATCAATAGAGTACCGAGCCCAGAACACAGAGAACTGAGAGAACTGACCTGGAGCCAAAGCAGCCAACTACAACTGTCTCTGAGAGTGTCCATGACATGATGAAGAATAGCACTGGGCCTGTTCTTGCTTTAAACCACTGGTGGCAGCAGTGTGTTTACGCCTGTCAAATTCAAGGGCTCCATTCAATTAAACTCTAACCAAATTTTCAGAGAGGAGTACAAATCATCTGGCGCTGCAAGACTGGATGTTTTGTTTCATGTACCCGACCAAATAAATTACAGTGGATTATTTTAGACCCACTACACAGGAAAATCTAATGATTTACTTAATTTAGAAACCTGGTTACCTGTTTTGATTGAAAAGGCTCCTTGGTCTATTGAACCTATAACAGAGTAATTAATCAGTTATTTGCTGAATCTTGATGAAAAGCCCATGCGTTTTATTGATAGCTAGCTTTTAATCATCCCATTTGGCCATCCACAGGAGATGTTATTATGTAAAGTGTGTATACTGTATATTATGTGTCGACCGAGGGATCTATTATGAGCTGTGTTTTGTTTCCTTCTGAGTGCTTACCTGGTCTGTGCTCCACTGTGCTCCTGTGGTTAGAGCGCCATCTACTCTAGTAGTTCATGCTCTGAGACAGTCAGGCATCGCTTTTATTGATCAAGGCCTCAGTTGGCCTTTTACAGCCCTTAGAAACAGCATGGCAACCACAATCAAATGTTCTCGTGGTGAGGTCAAAGCCTTCCCTTCCAGCTAACTGTAAACTTAAAGTGACCTGCAGACAAAACATTGGCAGTAGTGTTGTTTGTTGTTATCTGCGTTTGGGCTTGATGTTCATGTCAGACCTCTAAATGTTATGAATATGAAATGGCCCTTGCTGACTTCAAAGTAGTGCCTTCAATCCTTTGCCCTTTCATATATATTTTCATGTAATATGGACCAACAATCGTGGGCTTTAGAGTGTCAGTAGAGAGAAGCGTAGTTGGGTCACTCCCTAACAGCATCAATGAATCGTCCCTTTGAGGCTCTGCCAAACTACTTTTGCCGTCTGTCTGTTGGTTGTGTCTGTCTACAGTTTTTCTCTCACAAAGCTCTACAGGTGTACATGAGATTATTTGGAGCTAGCTCTGCTGAATAAGACATGACTGTGTGA